CCTTACTGGCCCACTCAGTCATGGTTTATTCGATTACTCCAGCTACAATTGTTCTATTCCGTCCCTCTTCCTTTATTCCCCAACATTCTTCATCAACTCCATTTGCCGGTTCTGCATCCTGAACTTCACATCCTCCATCTTCACGTCTGGATTTTGTCTAGTCTTTGGCGAGTAGATCCAGTTTCTCACTTCAGGTGGCATCTCATTTCATTCGTTCTTCACCTATGGCTATGTATTAGTGGAAATGAAATGTTTTTCACATCTGGGCTCTGGCTCGGGGTATCCTAGCTTCTTGTCCTACAGTTATTGGTATCTCTGAGTTTTTGGTCTCCTCGTTATTGGGCAGCCCTATCCCATACTTTCCTTTTTTTCCATTACTGCAAGGTCTTTCTTTTCCCTGCCAATGCCAATTTGATCAGGTTTTCCCGAATTACTTCCAAATTGGGACATTAAAGTGGTACTCCATTTCCTTACTTTACCTCCATTTGAGCCCATTGCTTCATGCTCTTTGTTTCACCTATCCCTTAAGGTATATTTCCTTCCCCTCTTGGCTTGCCGGTGGTGTTGGTCGGATCTGTTCACTATCAATGTCACTTTCACATTGTACCACCAAACTTATCATCTCCTTTATCCAGAATGTTCCTTCATTCACAAGACCTTGGCTGCTCACGAGGGTGACTTCTCCTTTTCACCCATTTTTCTTCCCTCTATTTCTCATCTCTACCCTTGTCCTGATCTGGATGGACTTCTATGGCCGGTGTGTGCCTTTTGTTGTGGTATTGCCCACACTACATCCTTCAGGGGTTCCCGTTCCTGTCTCTTTATCTTGTGGTAACCCTCTTCCTCTCAGGATCTTTCTCCCTTTACCCTTACCAATTGGGTTTTTCATTTAATCCAGTTGGCTTATTCTTCCTTGTCCCCATCCCAACATGCTTTGTTCAGTGTTACCTCCCATCAAACCTGACTCCTCTCCTTTTCTCTTGACTTTGGAGGAGATTCTGCAGTCAGGCATGTGGACCACCCCTCAGACATTCATCTCCCATTACTTACATAACGTTGCTATTTCTGCTTTCTAAGGGTATTGCCTACAACCTGTGGCTATACTTCAGACTTCAGTGCAGCTATGACACAAGGTAAGTCTTTATTTATGCTTTCTTTTCTCTCAGGGGCCCTTGCTTCAAAATTCTTCTCATGGATCCCATTCTGTGGCAAGTGGTGCCTGACTAGGTATTCTTTACATACACAAACAAATCTGCACTGTATGCCAAGTGATTCACGTGCTCTTTCCAGGGCTCCACACACTCATTTTCGAGATGGGGTGTTTGACCTTGTGATATTTGCATCGTAACTACACCTATCCTGGTCCATAATACCCATGGATGGCATGGGTAAAGCAGAAAGGGATATCTGCCCATTCTTGCCATGCCTTGATTGAATAAATCGGTATGGTCTGCTTTTCAAAATAGGGTTTTGTGATCATCTATTGCACTGTATCAGGTGTAACCATTCCTCTGGACTCTCCAATGCACTTTCCCCTCTTTCTGTCAGAGGAGTATGGGAGTTCTTACTACTTGCCAGTTCCAAGCTGCTGGGGTAGTTGACCATGGAGGCATTCTGCAGTATGGGTTCCATATAGATGGCTATAACCATTCAGTTCAGAGAAGGGCAGTGGTTTTTTGCCAGTGTAGAAGGCTTAAAATCCTCTGGATTGAGCGACACGTACCTCAGATTGAGATGTCTAAATGCAGTTCACCCCTTCGATTGGGTGCCCTCATCCTACCCTACTGTGAATGTGATACCCCATGGGCTGATTTTGAATATGGAG